AGAGGGCGGAAGGGTGCAAGCGCGCGTGCGGATCGGAGTTGGCAGGTAGATGCCACTGATTGTTGAACCTTTCTATGCTACGTCCCACCACACCCCTTCCATCAAACTAATACAGTGTTGTTGTTGTTGTTGTTGTTGTTGTTATGTGTTTGGACAGAGGTGCAGATGTGGTAGTAGCAAGTCGCTGGGTCTCCCTGTGAAGGTAAAGTATTTGGCAGGTCAAGATGTCCAGTAGACTGAGTTGCTTGCATCGTTGGCAGTCCACTAGAGGGGACAATATAGTCAGTTCTCATTGGCTGCTACTGGGGGGGGTGGAGACAGTCATAGTGTTGTGCTATACTCCATTTACCCAGGTGACAACATCATGTTGTCTTAGTCCCACGACCCGATTCTGTGACCTGTGCTAAACGCCCAATTCCAAGAGGCTAGACTACGTCCGGTTCCCCTACCCTCCAGCTCAGTGCTTCGCTGTTCTGGGCTTTGTTTTTCCCATAGATGCATTAATTTCTGCTTCCTACCATCCGTCAAGCCTCTGCCAAATCTCTACCATTACTGCCACGCTCCCTTGTTTAACCCAACAATCTAAGTGCTCTTCTGTGGTTTTGAGTTTTGTCGTCTGCTTAGATGCAACGCTAGGGCTGTTGTATTGATTGGGCCTCGCCTCCAGTCGGGCCCCTGCCTGGCCCGAACATTAGCTAATCTCTGTTAATGTCTAATTCGTATCCTCTATCAGACCTCCAGTATTTCTTTACGGATTCTCACCCTGGTCGCCTGTTTGCCCAATCAATCTAAGTCTACATCTCGTGATCTACCCGTTCCACCACTTGGCCCCGACTTTTGTATTTGAGGTCGTCATTATGATCCGGGTCGAGCGCTTGGCCAAGGCTCAACCTTGCAGTTCGAGCTCAGTTAGCCGTCAGAGTCCAACCAGTGGGGGGGAGGGAGGGTGGATATTTTCATGTTCTAGTGACAGATTGATTCCCATTTTGGTCATCCTATGGATGAAAATCAATCTCTCTTTCTCTCTCTCTCTCTCTCTCTCTCTCTCTCTCTCTCGGCGACAGTTGCATTTGACAGCTCGGGCATACTGACTTCTGGGACCTTTTGGGACATACTCACACAGGGACTTCGGGCAACTTAGGGCACACTCACACTTTGACCATCCTTACAGCATACTGGTGCCGCAGGATCACATGCCAGTGCCCCGCAGCGTCTGTGACTTGTATTTTTAATTTGCTTGCCCGGTTCATCGTTTGTGTGTTGGTGCTTTCCTGTTTTTGTTTTCTCGTTTTATTTGCTTTTAACATGATGTTGTTTTCTCGATTTTATATGTGTCATCGTTGTGCAGGGGTTGGGACCCACTCGTGGCGTTTGTTTCGGTGTGGCTGGGGTTTTGAATCATGTGTGGCGGCCAGTGACACACACTGTCCATGGATGACGGCGAAAATCGATGGCCCATGTTTGCCTGGAATCGTGAAGTTATCTTGTACTTGTTTTCGCCAATCCGCCTGCCAAAAAGGTTGTCTTTTGTGGTTTTCTGAATTCGTGGTTCACTGGCTGACTGAACAAACGATCCTAAAAAAGAGGTCATGAATTCACTGGCTCCGATCCCATTGGCTGACATGAGAACCTAGAGAAGGATTTTGCTTTTTTTAATTCATAGAAAACAAGGTTTTTAAATCAGAAAAAAATAGAAAAACCATTTTTAAAATGCGAAAACAGCGTCACAGACCACTGTACGAGAGTAGCAAACTGTGGTAGTGAGACCCGATTCGTCCAATTTTAACGAATGTCCCAAACGACACTTTTGTTTCCCGGTTCGTCGTTGTTGTTTTTTCAATTTTCTTTTTTAAGGCCTGAACATCCGCTTGCATCATAAGCATTCACCTCACTTAAAATCGCATCCCACATTCATTCTTCGGTCTCCACCTTCATCGCCCTTCCTCGCCATAGGTGCTCTACATGTACAAATATGTCCCCTCATCAGCAGCGTGTCAATGCAATCCATGGCCAATCTGACCTCCACAGTGTGTACCACGTCCATCCACCACCATCCCTCCCTGTCCCCATCCGCGTGCTCTCGCTCACGGACATACTCAAAAAGTTGAGCGTCACCACCTTTCCGTCTATCGATACCTCCAATTCAGAGAGAGAGAGAGCGAGACAGAGAGAGAGAGACACAGAGAGAGAGAGAGAGAGAGAGAGAGAGAGAGAGAGAGAGAGAGAGAGAGAGAGAGAGATGTTGGAAACGTGGTTATGCAATTTCATATCTTCGGTCATGTTATTGTAGCGGAACCTCAACACCTTTCCGCCGAGTGATTCCTCCAATTCTGTGTATGTGTGTGTGTGTGTGTGAGAGAGAGAGAGAGAGAGAGAGAGAGAGAGAGAGAGAGAGAGAGGGAGGGAGAGAGAGGGATGTTGGGAAGGTGTATTCTGTGTGTGTGTGTGTGTGTGTGAGAGAG